GGCTTAAATGATTTTGGTATATATGTTTCCTAGTATTCTTGTATTTGTTATGTCATTTTATTATAACAGGAAATACTTAAGGTTGAACTTGACTGTATATTTGGTCCCATTTAATATGTAAAGTTACAGATTACAAATTGCTTCTGTCAAATTTTTGTCTGTGGAGGAAAAGTATACCAAAGTACCTTTACTTAATAAATAAAGTTTGTTTGTTTTACTGGATTTGAAAGTCACACGGACAATATAAGTGTCATATGGCGAACATTCCAGCTTTACTTGTGGAGAAGGACCATGGGTAGCTCCTTTTTCAGGCACAAGCAGGCACCTGAGAAGAACCATCAACCTTCTGAAAGCTATCTGGATAGCTGCCTCAAATGAAAGAATCCAAAGACCCTAAATAAAGGATTTTAACCAGCTAGCAATGCGGAGTGGCAATGATAACCACTTGGTCAAAGAGGTCTCACATTTATCAATCTATTCATTCATCCATTTCTTTATTCATTTCATAGGCACTCCATGACATTTTATCTGTGTAACTGACAGTACGCAAATTAGTGAATTACATGGGTTTTACGGATGAATGATTTTTGCCCGAGTTATCAACACATTTTGGCTTATTAATGATGTTTGTATCTCCTGCTACACAGTAGCTGTAACATACAATTGACTATCACGAGGCCACACATGTGATCACTGTTGAAGGGCCATAACTCAGCCAAAAGTCATTCAACTGGAAAACCTGTATAATATGTGCAAACACTTCAGCTAAATATCAATCCTGTATAGTTTCATTTAAATTTTATAAGTGGTATAGGAGAAGTCCAAACCAACTTTGAAATTAAGTCATTAAAGGACCATAACTCTGACAAAAATCATTGGACCTTAAATGCACAACTAGACTTAGTCCTGATCATTCCTGTAAAGTTTGGATGAAATTTCACCCATGTCAAGAAGTTTCTGAGGAGTATTCCAGACAAGTTTTGTGACAGAGGGATGGAAAGATGATGGAGAAGTGATCCCTATATGTTGCAACTACTCTGCACTTTAAGGCAACGCAAAAATCTTGGTTATCTGATTAGTGTAAGTCGGGCGGTTGTCAATGGTCAATAACTTAAGTTCAGATTGACTTAACTTAAAAAACTTGGTATATTTATAAATTCTATATATAGCAAGTTATGTGAAGACCTCTCTTTGGAATCTAGGGTCAAGGTCGGTGCTACTAAAAACATAAAACTGCTTCTGGTTAGGAATAAGATATTTCAATAAAACTTGGTAGCTTATGTGAAGACTCAGCTCAGGATTAAGGTCAATACAATATATATTTTTTTAAACTACAAAATGCTTGCTTATTTATTTATTTTTTCATTTATATTGCACATAGTTATATTGTTCATTGCTTGTATTTGTACTCTAACTAGAAAAAAATCTTCTACAATGGTGATAATTAAAAAATCTGTTTTTCTCGGCACGAACATTAAAGTAAGTTACACAGTTATACCCCGAAGAACGTATTAAGTTGTAACTTTTATTATTATATACCTATAAATTTTCTCCCTAAAATACACGCAAATATTGAAGCGCAAATACACTTCAACGGATAGAAATTTCCGTATTATGTTAGTGACAATTACGTACCATATATGGAAATGCCGGACTATTTTTGACGTTGGTTCAGATCTTAGCTTTGCATAACGTTACATTTGAAAACGGGAACCAAAATTATTAAAGGCGTGGCCGGTTTGCAAGAATTACGTATTTATCCCTCAGTCATGAATTTATTTCTTGACAACTATATTTCATTTTCTGAATAAAACGAAAAGGTATATAATAAAAGGAAAATCATGTTGTAGTAGCTTTCTGAGTGTTTGTATTTTTCTACTCGCAACGTTGGAAAATTGATATCTCGCTCGATCTTGGGTCTCGCGAGATATCAATTTTCCACCGCTGCTCGTAGAAAAATACAAAGCCTCAGAAAGCTACTACAACATAATATTCCATATATATACACAATAATACACCAAATTAAGTATTAAAGGGACTCCACTGAGGTGTTTTGACATGATGGGACTGAAAATATTTGTTCCAGAGAAATGTACCATTTGATGAAGGATTAGACCACTAATCTTTGTGCAAAATTTTAGATCATTCACACACTTCCTTTTCCTGAATAATTATTCAAGATGTAAAAAAATGACCAAAATGAAAAGTGTTTAAACACTTTTCACTCAACTTGGGCTAAGAAAAGCATAAAAATGTGATTTTCAATTTATTTCAAAGCATATTTCTAAATCTTTGCATATATTTCTGTTTAAAATGCCCCCAGCTCATTTATGTAAGAAATTCTAATGTTATGTTTTAAGGCTTTGAAACCTCAGTGGAGTCCCTTTAAGGTATAACTTTTTAATTTCACAGTAATACACAAAACTAGTAAGGTATTACAGTGAACCTTAATTCAACATACACAGAAATACACACAATCAATTAAGTATTAAGGATTTAACTTTTTAATTTCACAGTAATACAATATTTATTTTTTCGCTTTCAATAAATCTTAAACATTTACTCAAATTATCTTAACAATATGTAAGAATGTGTGGTGGGTTATTGGCACAAAAATCTTTATACACAATTGCTGGTTATTTTTTATTTACCACAAGTGATTATTAGAAAGAATATTTATAAAACACCACACTGATTCACCACAAATGATTTTAAAAATAACATTGTTTCAAAAAGACTGATTTATAGATTAACATGATGATTCGCCACAAGTTATTTATAGAATAAAAAAAGGATTTGCCACAAGTTTTTTTATAGAATAACATGATGAATCGCCACAAGATATTTATAGAATAATATAATGATTCACCACAAGTTATTTATACAAAAACATAACGACCCCCCCACAAGTTATTTATAGAATAACATGATGATTCGCCACAAGTTATTCATAGAATAACATGATGATTCGCCACAAGTTATTTATAGAGTAACATGATGAATTTGATTTGCCACAAGTTATTTATAGATTAACATAATGATTGCCACATGTTATTTATACAAAAACATAATGATTCTCCACAAATTATTTATAGAAATTAATATAATGATTCACCACAAGTTATTTATAAAATAACATTGAATTAACACAAGTTAATTATATAATAACATTTATTCGCCACAAATTATTTATAAAATAACATTGATTCACCACAAGTTATTTATAAAATAGCATTTTTTTAATATGTGTCATAAAACTGATGCTTAGCCCACAATTACAAATATAACCAAAAATGATTGAATGTAATTATTATTATATGGTAATAATTAAAAAAAATAATCTTATTATCTAAATATGCCATCTCAATGTGGCCTGAAATTACAAAAATATTATTATCACTTATCATGATTTTATTATCACTAGAGCATACACTGTCATTATCCTCTAAAATCATGATTTGTAATTTCTTTACAATACCATAATTATCACCATAATTATCACCTGGAATATACAATCTCCTTAAACATACAATATCTTTACCCCCCCCCCCTTTAATGATAATTTGTGATTTCTTTTATCAACAATAAAGAAAATTATCCCCTATTTATCCCCTAAAGTACACAATTCAATTATAACCCTAAACATACCATCTTATTATCACATAATACATTTAATTGCATTATACCCCTAAAATATTATTTGTGATTTCTTTATCAACACTACCAATATCATCACCTTAATCATACAATCATATTATCCCCTAAAATCACATCTGAGTATCGTTATCTTCAGATTATAAAATTAATTATCATTCCCTAGAACATGATTCAACACAAAAGGCTGGTCCTTCTTGCAGGTGAATAAATAATTTGCACATTGATAAACAGTTTCATGGAATGAATATCACATATTATAAGCATGGAAGAATGGCATTCAATGGCTTATTTTAGTCTGCCTGCCCCTGGTGGATCTAGTAATACTTTCCGTCGAGCAGTCTCACGTGAAACATTGTTATATAATTTGGTCAATCTCTCCTACAAAAAACAAAGGATAAAAATGTTTTTGATAGACATCAAATTATGAGATTTATCTTATAAGAGGTTTATATACAGAGAGTAGGGCAGAAATGTATAAATCAGGCAGCTAAATAAGTAAAGGCCCGAGGGCTTCAGCTAGGGGGTCAATATTTATTGCGGCCAATTTTCACTTTCAGCCAAACTCTAACGAGTATCAATGTATATAATAGATGAAATAGATTTTACAATAACTTTGATATTGTCTTTTGTTAAAACTCCAGAGCCCTCTAAAGATAAGACAGAGTTGCTTCCCTTCATAGGTACAAATTCCAGTAGAATCAATTTGCAAGTGCTTGATCTCTCAAAATCAAGCCATCCTTACTATAAAGCCCACTTTTACTAAATTCCAGCTAGCCTGTTTTGAGGATGTCAACTAACATGTCACATTTGATTATTTTTGCACTTGTTCAGCAATCTGATTATGCTTTTTTGGACCCAGGCAGCAAACCATTTTTGCACTTGCCTATGTTCAGCTGACATGATTTTCTAACCCTTAAGGCCGCAAACTTTAATCAATTTCTTAACACTCAGAACCAATTAAAATTCCATCATTGGTAAATTCCTTTATATATATATAGTTGCAAATGTATAAAGCATAATATTAATCACATGATGCTGATTGTTTCAATGCAATACAACCATTACTTATTTCTTCATACATTAATGCATTACATTTAAGGCACATACCCAAGAAAATCAATATTCTTGTAGTTATGCGTTATAGAGGTATCGAAATGTAAACAAAGCAGTATTTTGATTTCCATATAAAATACTTATTCACTAAAATTGTACTGACTGCCAACAGAGCTATAGTGGCAAAGACAGTCCATGTTTATAGCAAATAAAGATTCATTTTACAACTGTGACAAGATACCAAAGACAGAGCTATAGTGGCAAAGACAGTCCATGTTTTGGGCAAATAAAGATGATTTTTACAAGTGTGACAATATACCAAAAATTGAAAAAATTTCGGAAATAAAATAAGTAACAATTTTAAAGCATTAAGAGTCTTTAATATATTTTTTAAATAAATATATGCAAAAAGCTAAATCCCTTGTCACACCCGCACCTGGTTGAGTAACTATTATCTTTCATTAAGTAAGGCTAAAATGCATGACAGCACCTAGGCAGTATCAAAAGTTAAAATGTGCTAGAAGATTTTAAGTCACTCTTACCTGAACATTTTGTAAAATATTATTGACTAACATAACACGCCTTCTTGAATTGTTCAACTTTTTTACATATGATTCCAAGTCCACCGATATAGTCTGGCTACTGGATATTATCAGCAAATCTGAAAAGCAACCATATAATAATTCATTAATGTCACAATTGCTTTGAAGCTTATTTAATACACCTGCAAATCTGAAAACCATATAATTCTTTAATGTCACATCTTTTAAAGCTATACACCTCTAGATAAAAAAAACTTTAGCAGAAAATTTACATCTAGAGATACTAGCACTAGATCTGATAGTATAAAATATACATAAACCATAAACATTAATTCAGCAGGTATATAACCAAGTTGGAACATATCTAGTTTTGCACAACACAGAAGATATAACAAATATAAGAAGGCTATATTTTGATTGCTATATTGACATAGAGTTCTTTCGATATTTAAAAAATAGTAGTAGTTTACTTAGTTTGTGTTTTCATTGCTTTATGGCAATATTCATAACAATTCATTACTTCCTAACAGGTGCCCGTAAAATTTGAATATATCCGGTCAAGTAGCTTTGCATGAACAACGTCTAAAATAAAAATTTCTCTCCAATTTATTCGCGAAATCGTGTGGACTTATACACGCAAACAAATATTCGCCCTTCGTGGCCATCCGCGAATAAAGCGAATATTCATTGGTCGCGAATATTCGTTGGGTTACAGTATATTATGAATCACATGTAAGTCTTAAGTCAGTCAGATAGCATTTTATCTGCTTTACAAAAGCTATGACAGCTTTCACGTTAACTGAGATTGGTTACATATAAAATATTTAAATAATGAAAACTTAGACTCAAACATTACTCTTACCTCCAGCTAAGCTGTCAATTTGCTGGCGTAGTTCAACTTGACTTTCTCTAAAAGTGAAAAGAAAATAACCTCACTTTAGTTAACTGACAATTCACTTAAAATTCTGCAATGTATATGATAATATCTATTCCATCTTTTACATATGGGCTTCAATAGAAAATGACAAAAATGTCCATTGTAAATATTATCTTGTATTTACATGAATTTGCTTTTCTTTGAGTCCTGCAATTTTGTTTGAGATTCATGTACACTATGATGTTACTAGGTCAGAACCAAAAATTTGTGTGGGAAATTTCACAGTCTGTTTGATTATTTTAATATTGAAAATGACTAAAACTATAAGTGTGTTGCCACGCCACCACAGCCAAAATTTCAGATGTTATAATATTTAGCTGTATTTGGCTTTCAAAGTGAAAGGGGCATAAACTCTGCCAAAAATCATTGAACCATGACTGAATTCACACTTGACCTGCGCATTTCTTTGACATATCTATATAATAAATTTGATTTGAATATGACTACAACTGTTGGGGAGATAATAAATGGAAATTGAAAATATCATATTATTTTCAAAAGGAAAGGGGCATGACTCTGCCAAAAATCAGTGAACCATGACCAAATTTGCACTTGACCTGCGCATTTCTTTGTTTCTTAAATTTAAGTTGAATAATGTACAACTGTTGGGGAGATAATGAACAGAAACTGAAAATTTCATACTTAATTTTCAAAGAGAAAGGGGCATAACTCTGCAAAAATTATCGGACCATGACCAAATTTGAACTTGATCTGCACATTCCTATGATATATCCACATGCCAAATTTGAGTTGAATTTGTTATACCGTTTAGGGGGTTTTTGATCGAAAACTGAAAATTTCATATCATTTTCAAAGTGAGGGGCATAAATGATGTTTTTCTTATATACCAACACGGATTTATATTACATTCCAGCTTTAGTTGTGTCCCTTAGTTACTCAAACGCCCTTTATATCCTGTCTGAAACTTTTTGTCATTGAATATAAAAAATGCTGGCTTTTTAAATTAATGTTGTGCATATGTGGTTAACTAAATTTAGCAATCGATCTTTCTGACTGACAGGTAAACAAAATAGCAGATTAATGATAACCTGTGCAAGCATTAATTTTAACATCTGCCTCACTCATGTAAAATGCCTTTATTATGATTGTTTATTATATTTGACTGTTACATTGGTCAAATTTTATAGGCAATGAAAAAAAAATATTATTGGCAAAAAAAAAGGAAAAAAGTTTCATCAACAACGGTAAATTTTGCCGTAAATTACATATATATTTGAAAATTTTGTTTTATGATGCCTGTTGAAATAGCTGATGAGTAACAATCTTAAAATAATCAAAAAATATTTAATCTAATATAATCAAAATCAACAACAAGTAGAATTGTGAATGTTTCTGCAGGAAACGGACAAATTTTCAATTGTCACTCACATATTTTCGCCATGCCGCTTTTTATAATTAAAAAAATTGTTACTAAAAGGAAACTTTGTTTTGTTAAAATGTGTGTAATAACACTTAAATGTAGTTTAAGAATTTAAATTACTCAAGATATTGTTCACATTAGTTGAGATGGAGCTATTTACCAGTATGTGTTTGTCACATACAAGGAATACTTTCTTATGGGAGGGGGGTGTGTGGAGTGAATCTGGAAGGAAACAGCATAATGGTCTGATGATGTAGGGTTTTTCAAATTATATTTCAAATCTTTTCAATCAATTTTATGGTACAGTGTTTTCCATTTGGGACATACTACCATTTTCCTGAATAAGCTTTTTCTCTGTTCAAACTCCGACTCTCCAACCCCTAGCTTACTCTGCTAATACATGTATACATCATATTTGTCAACTGCATAAGTGCAGCAAAGATGGCATAACATATTCAACATGCTCTGTGCTCCTACTTTTCTGTGCTTGGGAGTCCAAGGACTCCTACTTTAAAAAATCCTAGTGAGAACCCTGCTTAAGTTATTTCAATTGGTCAGCATCTTATGTTTCTATATATTGATGGTCACACTAATTTAAAGAAAGACAATCATTTTTACATTCAACAGAGTTATTATAAAATAATGCTTGAAATGTCTGGGCCGGAAAAATATCATGCGGGCCGAAAATAAACCTAAGGGTCTCGGTTCTTGTGGTCTGAAAAAAAAATTGACTTTGGCATAGACTGATAGGCTAGACCAACATGACTCAGATTTGGCTAGAACGGGACAGTATGGTATTTTAAGGTCCTTTGTTCCTACTTAGCAGTCATTTGTGCCTCTCAGCAGTCCTTAGCAGCCCTGTAACTTAATGAGAGCATGCGTTCACAAGATTTCGGGATGGACGGACGCTATATGCTCCCACATTGTAGGAGCATAACAATGCAGAAAGAGGGTTAATTTGCATCAATAAGGTGATAGTCTCATATCAGATGTTGGGGTTTAAAATAATACGCGGAAAGTCCGAGCGGGGCCATTGCCGCCAAAGGCCCCGTGAGGGCTGTAGCGCTTTTACATAACATATATGACATGTATCAATTGAAATAAAAAATCAAATTAAAAGTAAATGAAAATTTCAAAAAAATATATAGATCTATCCTATACCTAATGAGCTGTGAAAAAAATCCTTAGTTAACTGGGCGCCGCCATTTTGAAATCCTTTTGAGCTAAATATAGATATCACAGCGCTTTTAATGAGCGTCTACATAATTCAGACTATTGCTAGCAGACGCATGCTTAATAACACTTCCGGTGAAAGAATGATGTACAAAATCAGAAAATTAACATTCATTTCATTCATAAGAACTATAGTAACGATGATAAATGTAAAAAGTTACTTTTAAATCCTTTTTGATAAATAAGCACATTAAAAATAACGTAAAAACAATAGATGTGATTAGAGATTAACAGAAATGGCGGACGGGATTTTCCAAACGCCGACGCATGCCCAGTGGTCCCTCTTCCAATGATAGGTTGAACACCACCAATTTATTTGTTTCTGATTACGATACAAAATACCTGCATCTACTTATTAACGAATTAGATCTGGTTAACATATACACTAAACATGTTATGCTTAAATATTAAATCATAAGAGGTTTCCGCGCCATAGGTAGCACCTAATTTCCATATTAGTTTTTTTCTCACTTAACATACCAAAATATGTAATTGTTATAAGAATGCCCTATGAGGTATTTTAAGGTATTTTGTACCTCCTTGGCAGTCCTTTGTGTCTCCTTAGTGGTCCTTAGCAGTATTTAGTTAGGTACCACAAGCCAAAATTTGAAATAAATTGGAGTAATAAGTGTTATATATCATTGGAAAGATAATTTCAATACAAACTTAATGATATGGTCAGTTTTCAAATTTGATCGAAAAAATCAAGATTTATCTCCCCTTGAAATTTTCAGATTTTCATATTTTTCTGCCATTTTTTGCCTAAGTTTCATACAGTTATAATTTAACTGAAATTTAAACTTTTTACATTATTTTCCACTACAGCTATACTTACAGAGTTTAATATATTCATTTTTTTGGATGTCCGGATTTTTCAGTTTAAAAACAGAGGCATTATGACCACTTTGGGATGAATATAAACAATACATTGTAGATGGTTTTATGATTTTTCAAAATGTAAACTTTGTTTTTTTACATGTTCCAGTTATAAGATTACATTGATAAATATCATATTACCTTGTACTTTTATGTTGTCTTACAAGAAAATGTGATGGCTGAAAGGTTGAATGACAATTATAATGTCATTTCATATTGAAGGTCAAAGGTCAAAAGCCATGGTATATGAGTTATTTTCATGAAACATTTTACACTTACTTAAAATCACTTAGTGTAGTGTTTTGCAAAGCAAATCTTACATTGCAGGGCAAAGGAATGTGTAAAACCACAAGCATTAATTACAAAAGTAATGGGATATTTGATAAGGTCAAAGGTCAAACATGTAAAAACATAATTCTGTTATTGTTAACTTACAAACAATAATACACATGTAGTAGTCATTAAATTAATTAAATGTCTTTGCAAAGGGCTTTTACAAGTATGTATATCCTAGGTGACCAAATTGCAACAAAGAAGATAACAAACCATTGTGTGGTTAATTGAACTTATAGGTCAAAGGTTAATATTGGTTATGGAGTTCATTGTCAGAATTTATATGTATTTCAGAAGGGCAGGTAACTCCTCAGTTATATCGTTTTTTGATTGTTGTAGTTCATTACTTTTTCGTAACATATACAATGTATATGTTACAAAATGCTAACACATTGTAACTCAAAACAAACATTACTTCTTACAGTTCTCTGATCTCTTTTATTGTTCACTTGTAAAACTACTTTCAGTTAACAGACAATTGCAGCAAGCCATCTGACTCCTGAAACAATATAAAAATTGGTTTCACCTTATGAGGATATACACTTCTCAACTAATCAAATTTCTACAAAATTATAAATATGTAAAAAATAACTTTAATTTTTTTTTCAATATCTGAGAAGAAATGTTAACATTGTGAAACACTTGCACATTTATTGTTACTATCATTAAAGCAGTCATATTTGAAGATATTAAGCATATATTTACTGATGATTTAATAATTTACAGTCAAAAGACATGCTAACTACTGATTTAACAGCTACAATTTTCCTGTTGTGAATAAAACAATCCTTTCAGAATTGGATTACTTACTCAATTACTTCTACATCTCCTGTATTAAACTCCTCTGCCAGCTTACATGTATATATATCATTTTCCTCTACATACTTTACATTAAACCACTCATCAAAACCAGGAACCTGCAAATACACAAATGTTTAGAAAGTTTAAGAAAGGATCATAATTATGTAATTTAACATTTTGTATAATTTTTTTTTAATAAAACAGAACATAGATGTTTTATAATATATTGCTACCTGTGATATCACATATCCTTTGAACCACTTTTCCTCCTTTTCACCATGAATCTCAATTAAAAACCTATGCTTAATGTTTTTCCCAACTAAAAAATGAGCATTTGTTAGGGCAGGGACTTCATTTGCTTTGTTAATTAAGCTCAAAACATTATTTTTTAATTCTGTAACAGTTAACAGATGTCTTCTTCCTTCTACAACCTTACTAAAATTAAAAACATTTGAATCAGCCAACTGATTGAAAACATCTTTTCTGAACCGTAATTGGACCTTCAGAGCTTCTTCTTTGCCTTTTCTAGTCTCTATTTTTCTTAATTCTGCTTCAACTCTTTCTTCACTTTGCCATAGGCCATAAAACATCATATCATTTGTGATTTTTTTCAAGTTTTTCTACCCTTTTTCTTTCTAGTTCATCTTTTTTCCTAAATTCTTCTCTCTGTTTTTCAATCCTCCTTTTCTCCAGTATCATTTCCCTCTCCTTAAACCTTTGCCTTTCCAAATTGACCTCTCTTCTACACTGTTTTATAATATCATTTATGTTATCTTGACCTTTCAACCATTCATTTGTTTTATTTAGAGAAAAAGTTATATGTGACTCAAGTGCTAAAGTTTTTATGTTTGGTTTGTAAGATAATATGTCGATGCCTTGGTGCGAAAGGGTTGTAACTCATAATTTCACCGAAAATGGTTTTATAGTATTTTTCAATGTAGGAGCAATATACACACATGTTGTAAAAATATTGAACTTGAAAGCTAAAATTAAACTACCAAAAAAGTATATATGTCCAAAGGTTGTAACTCAAACAGACATATTTTGTTGGTGCGAAATGGTTGTAACTTAAGTTACAACCGTTTCGCACCAACATTTTGATAATATTTTGAATAAATCTTAGTGCAAAACAGTTGTATCTCAATATCTTATATCATATTCTGTGAAATATTTAGTGGATTATTTCTTTCGAACTAACTGACAAGTTTATAAAACAGTCTCAGCTTCTGATTATTATAAATTGGTAAGCTTTCATTCAGACATAATACAAGAATTTGAATAACTTACACATATTTCAAACATAAATCAATTCAAATGCTTGTTAAAGAAACAATATCATAGTACATTGCTTTATTTGACTAACAGTACTGTTATAGTGATTTTTTTTCAACATAAAAATTGTCATTGGTATAATGTTGCATTGTTTGCAAAATAGCAAGTAAAAGTAATGGACTTATTTTGGTTTTACGAAAATGAAATTACCGTAACTCAAAATAAATTTATTATAAATAATTATTGTCATACAATATATTATGATAGACTTTTTAAAACAAGTCAGAGTTAAATTGCATACCAATACATGCACATTGCTTTAACTCAATGTCAGTCTGGAGCTTGCTTGTTAACTGGTTCATTTTTTCTGGTTTTTACATATTGTGACAGCAGGGAAGGAGATAACAGTACAAAAGTCATATTCAGATGCTTATACATTTGGTACTTTTTTATTGGATGACTGGGAATGTGTTGTTTTTTTTTTTTTTGCCTTAGAGATACAAAAGAGAAAGAACATCAAAACAATGGCCAATCTGATTTAAACTCTCATACAAATCCGACAGCCTCGTGTTTCGATGCTTTTTTAATTACTAAATATTAAAATAACTTAAAGAAATTATACAATTATTACTCAATTCTTTATTTGGTTTTAAACTTACATGAATTACTTTTATAACTTACATGTATTACTATTGGAATATTTTCATGTTTTGTCAAAGACAAATTGTATAAATTAATATTGTACTACAATTTATTTACGTTACAAGACAATGTCTGACTAGATATGTGAACAAATTTTTCTTTGACAACATATTGTAAACAGTAAGTTTAGATACATATACATATGTATAGACAAAAGTATTACAATATATTCTAACACGACCCACATTTTTCCCTATTGAACATAGAAAAACCGAAAGTGTGTGTTATTATGCAATAAAATCACTGTTTGACGTTCTATATGTAGACATGTGACGTAATCATTATACACCTGACGTAACCACTAAAGATGTGACGCGCTGACAATAAGTACGGAAACAAATCAGGCGCAATTTAGCTAATTACCATGTACGGCAGCATCTATTTGTTGATGTCGTGTTAGAATCGAAATAATAAATCCAAATCGGTGATTTTATTGCTTGTCATTCGGATGCTGATCATTATATATAATTCCCCGCATCCGAACTCCAAACAGTGATGTTATTGAGCAATAAAATCACAGTTTGGGATATATTATTTCTTAAATAAAAGGTGTTTATGTGTAGATAATTAAGATAATATATCCCAAACTGTGATTTTATCGCTCAATAAAATTACTGTTTGGAGGTCGGATGTGTGGAATTAAGAGGGAGTAGCCCGAGTGATATAATGATGCACATTCAATCAACAAACAGTGATTTTATTAAGTGATAAAATTACCAATTTGGATATATTATTTTGATTCTAACACTACATCAACATATAAAATTTTAATGCTGTACCTTATATATAGCTAAATTGCGCCTGATTTGTTTCCGTACTCATTTTCAGCGCGTCACATTTTTAGTGGTTACTTTGCGTGTATAATGATTACGTCATTTGTCTTAATATAGAATGTCAAACAGTGATTTTATTGCATAATAACTCACACTTTCGATCTTCTATGCTCAATAGGGAAAAATGCGGGTCGTGTTCGAATATTAAGTAAAATATGTTATTGATCCTTTGTTTTCTTTTAGATAAAAGTAAATTATCAGATATATTCTATCTGCTATTTAAAATCATTCTTTAAGATGTTAATCTCTTCCTCAGCTGTATGTGCGTTTGTGTGCACACCTGTGAATTTTATTGGGGTGGGGGGGATTGCATATTGTAATTGTTATTATTTGCAGGCCTTATTTTTTTCTCATTTAATTACTGACTGATTTATATCATAATAAACAATGAAATTTGGGACTGTAGAGAGTTGTAAGAATAGCATGAGCTTAGAAGCTTAGAACATCTATTATCATCTTTCTCATACTTTTGGCTTAATAGTAAAGAAGATCCTGGATAATGCATAAATAATATAATTTGTACACAAAAGCATATCCTGGAAATTATCTAAGTTTTCAAATTAAGAAAAACCTATGTATAGAATAGATGTAAAATAAAATGAGAGTGTTCTCATTTTCTAAAGGCTAATATTAACATCTTAGATGGTTTTGTCTTACATTTTGAACTTTGATTCTTGCAAAAACAAACATATTTGGTACTTATGATGGGTTTGACAATCTGAACTGTTTGTCACATGGAAAAAAATATTATATATAAAGTGAATTTCTTTAAAAAAAATCATTTGACTGAAATTTTATTTTAAAAACATAAAATTTGAAGGTTTTTCACTGAAATATCCAGGCCATATGTTAAATTAGTTCATACTAAACACAACTAAGCTTGGATCTGTTCATTTGACCTATTACATTTATCAGAATTTAAAGCAAAAATTTAGTTACAACCCTTTCGCACCAAATCATTTTTTGAATTTTTTTATTTTTTTGGTGCGAAAGGGTTGTAACTGAAACTTTATCAATTATCTCTTTATGCTGACAAAATAAAATAACCTTTCCAATCAATTATATATCAGTAAATGAATGAAAGCCAAAAACCAAAATTAAAGAAGTATTTATTAGAACGTAAAAGAATAAATAAGTTTTTTGTCTCTCCTGAATAATTTCAAAATATTGAGTTACAACCCTTTCGCACCAAGGCATCGATGTGGTCTAAATATGAAAAAACTCTTTCTGGAAATTTATTATGTTTATCAACACTGCTTACTTCTCTTTCATTTAAGTTCTCATGAATTCCACCTGGTAAATGATCCTTATACTGTTTTGTGATTAATTTTAATAATGCAGGTAAGATAACTAAAAGAATAGTTTCAACATGCCCATCTATCTCACTTTCTTTAACTAAACTTTCATACACTTTGTCTTTTTTCACATTGACATCTTCAAAAAGTGTTATATTTCCTTTAATAAAATCATCTAAATTTAAACTGCAGTCTTGCAAAAATGTTTTCAAAGTCAGATATCTTTTATTCATTTGAGACATTGTAATTTCTTTCGATTCGATAACATGCCAAAGAGGTGTAGTGATAATTTTTGATATCAAACCTAGAGCTTTACATCCAGCCAAAAAGAATGGCTCTTTCAAATCAAACAAAACAGAAGAAAGCAGAGCATTTGACTTAGGTGTTTTCAACAAAAAATCTTTCATTTCGTTTTGTAAAAAGTATACATGTCCAGCATTAGTGAATAAAATGTTAAATCTATTTCCTCTTAATGGTTGAAGAGGTACACTTTGCATATTATTTTCTTTTAAGAATGAGTTAATATATGTTTTAAAATTTCCATAGCAACCATTTTTTTCATCTCCTCTTCTAGCAAAAGATTTACATGCAGTTAAAATAAGCCTAGTAGTTCCAGACTGACCAGATTTTAAAAAAGTTGGATTTTGGATAGGAATTTTATTATCAAAATGCAAAATTTCTACTTCATTTAATGTTTTTTCACATGTTTCAGCCATATTAACTAAAGAATGGAGTCCACAAAAAAAGTTATTCATCCTATCAATTGCTTCTCTTGACTCTTCATTTAGTTCATTGTAATTTTCATATATATCTGGTAAAACCTCTTTTCTGTAGTTTTCTAATAATTCATTAAATTTCATTTCAGAAGCTGCTCTGTCACTCATTGTGTTTTTTATATTTGTTAAAATTTTCTTGCCACCTTGACTTTCATCTTCACTTGCTATATTAATATCTGTTAAGATTTCTTTGAAAGTATCTAATGTGTCTTGACTTGATTTTGTTGCCATATTTCTTAATCCTAACAATTTATAATTGCCACTATTATCTCTTGTGGCAAAAGCCCCCCACCTACTTCCATATTTTGATGTTTCGTCTGAGTGTAAAGTTGTATTTTGTTCTTCACATACACTTGACAATTGTTTCTTTACCAAAATTCCTCTTTCAATGTTCCAATTATTAATTGTGCTTGGACTAGGAAGTTTATTTGGAAAAATGTTCACTAATTTTAATACACTTTCTATAACTTTACTTACATTTTCTGTAGTGACATGACTATTCAATAGGCTATAAACACATATATGCATTTCGGGTACATATGTTCTTGTATGTTCATCATAAAATAATCCTTGTTGAATTTTGGAAAGATTTTCATTTTGAAGTTTTAATAAATCAATATTTTCAGAACAATGCCTAATTCTTTCATTGTTTTCTTCATGTAATGTCTTAAGCCTAGTAATTTCATCAAGGAATCTAGTAACATCTTTTTCTGTATATTTTAAGTCATTTTCAGATTGTTCCAGCTTTCTATACTTTTCACGCCAATAATTTTCTCTACTACATGTCCTTTTCAAATCTTTTTTTTGTAAATTAATTTTTTTAACTTTTTTCTCAACTATTATTCAACTCATTTGTATGTGATACAGATGCATTCAGTTTAAAATTTTCTTCTTTCACTTCTGTCAATTCCTCCATCAGGCTACAAGTTTGTTTTAAAAATAAATAAAAATTGAGGTTTCTTTTTTTAAATAAAATGTAACATGATCTTTTTAAATAAATTTGGTCACTGTTAGTATTAAATTCCCAATTCTTTAACTTGTAAATATAAGTAATATCTGATCAGATTGTTAACTTTTGTTAATGTGAATTATTATTTAAAGTCTTTATACTATTATTTAGGACTGTCAGACTTTGATGACAATTTGTATTAATATAAGTAGAGCAGTATAATTAAATTTATTGATATCCCAAATTGTGAATCAATATTGACTTAATGAATGCTGAATATCTGTTAATATCTATCAATCTATCTGACAACACTACATGTATTTATTAAATTTGTTACCTTTCCAAAATTTTTAAATGTTTATTACATATAAAAAAGCATCACAGTGTTGCAAAATGAAGTGATAAAAAAATGGACGCACAATTAAAACCCTTTTAATATATAATAATGAAAAGAAATAAGCTTTTTTAGTAAAGCTACATACTTCACTGCAACTGTTTTGTAAGACATAGCTAGCAATTTAGGATTATCACTTGTGGCATGAAAAGGGTCAAGTCTTGGATGTAAAACTTCATTCACTTTCTGTTTAGCTGAATCACATTTTCTACTCTCTGACGGCATTTCATACATTTTTTTCAAAAATATTTCTAGATTATTTTCACCTTTCACACGGTGTCTAGATTTTTTTAAGTTGGCATGCTTCTTTATTAAACGTTCAATGTTATGCCTGATGGTATTTTCAGTCACTTGACATTCAAATGTTTTTTTTAAATACTTAACAGTGTTTATTACACCAATTTTGGTGACACTTTCAAATATATCTCCATTAGTTAATGAATCCATGACCTGAAATTTCAAAACAAGAAATAAAAAAAAATACTTACTTAAGAATATAGTGCACAGTCAAACACACTGGCAAACAACAACAACTATAACAACTTGTAACTGAAATGAAATTGAAAAAAATAACACAACAAATATAGAAAAGTGATAAAAGAGGATATTAGGTACTTCATTTCTATAACAAAAAATGGTTAACTTATGTTACAATGTACATGATCCCAACCATTATTGTAGGCCTTAAGTTACTGTTATTCAGCTAAATGGCTAAATATCTTGCAACACATATATATGGGCAGATCTATTCTTTTTTGTCATGGTGATATCTTTTTAATTATTGTTTATAAACATACAAATATTAGTGAACAATCATGTTGATTTTGAATTGAATGCGTGCACAAGCCACAGAAGCCCCATATTGACTGTTATGTCATTCTACAGACAGACAGACAAAGAGCAAACACATGACTCCCCACCTCGGTCAGGCGACAAATAAAACTAAGTCATATGCATATTGATAATGTGTGACTGTACATAATGTATCTCACTTATAAACTTATAAATATCTTGAGAAACATGAATAAATCACACAATGGTACAGGTTTTTACATAATAAGAGATATAGTAATCTTTCTTTTATTTTAAATATAGCTCTTCAAATTCTAAGACTGATGCCAATGAAATGCATATAATATTAATGTATTTTTCTGATCATAAAACAGTTCAAACCATAAAACAGTTCAATTGAAAACACAATATAATGATAAACAGCTAATATCAAATCTAAAAAATATTTTAAATTTTATAAAAACTGATAAATAGACTAATATTGATTAGACTAAACACCTGTCACAATTTTTTTCACTTTGTTTACATATTCGTTACATGTGACATGATTTTTATGCAAGCAGAAAAATCTGAAGTCTTTGTTTTCATTTGATTATTTTAACCCATAAAATTTTTTCCCGGGGGCGTTTTTTAAATTTTGCAAGGGGGTGACATTTTTTAAAAGGGGGTGTCCAGTTTTTGCGATGCCCCTTGGGAAATTTGGGAAAAAAAATACACACCCAAAAAAAAGGAAAGGGGAAAAAGGGTTTAAAATTTTTAAAAAAATTGTCTAGAAAAACAATTTCCCAAATAAACAATAAAAAAAATGATTTAAATTAAACTAAATTTAATTTTATAAAAATCAAAAGGTTTTAAAAAGAAATGTCAAGGGGAAATGGGAAACCCTTTGGGAAAAAAAAATAAACCCGGGAAAACTATTTTTAAAAATTCAAACCCGGGTCAAAACGTTCTGTCACGAAAAACCCCCAAATGAAAACCAAAAAATTAATGGGGACCCTAATAATTTTAAAATGGCGGGAAATTTTTCGGGTGCACATGGATGAAACAAATTTATTTTTTTATAATAAATATCTGTTTTCATATTAAATAGAAATGAAATTTGCATCAAAATAGAAGAAAGCATACCTGTGTTATGCTTTATCCTTTACAAAATCGTCGTCGAAAATGACCGTGTTTACCCGTTGTACAGAATAGCGACTAATATATTTACGAATACCGTTGTGGTCGCTTATTTAGTAGGACTCCGGCTAGTCTCTTATTATCATGCTTTGTTGGTTATACCTTGTGATTGATGGGAAACTTTATGGCCCACTTGACGGCAGACTTGACCCTTAACTGTATGCTCAACAAATCAAACCTGCTTGGTGTGACAAAAACATCCTTCTTGATACAAGATGACACAGGGGGCCCACACAGTGTTTGGATGGTATATACTACTTGATAGTGACCTTAAAATAAGATTTTAGGCATTACCTTATAATATGTATATAAATATAGTCTATATTTATATACATATTATAAGGTTATGACTAAAATCTTATTTTAAGGTCACTATCAAGCAGTATATACCATCCAAACACTGTGTGGGCCCCCTGTGCAAGATGATTACAAAATGTCTTGTGTGTAGCAAATCGATGGCTCAGCGCAATACTGGTCTAACTGCTATTTTTGAAAATGTTCAGGAGAGACAAAAACTGATTTTATTCAAAAATACTTATATAAGAAAATATTTTTTTGCTATGTTAACCTTAATTATAATAAGAAATAATGCCATTTATAATTTTTTTTATTAAAATGTTACAAATTGTGTATTTTAGAGTTAGACCTTTATTGCGCTGAAACTCTGAGTGCAATACAAGACTAACTTGAGTTAGACTCAAATTCCCTCTTGCAATTTGGTAAAAGTGGTACAAATATTTGAGTTAGACCTGTTTTATGTTAAATATTCTGATATAAATGAAATTTAAAATTTTGAACAAAATTGTTTTATTAATTCAAACATTGATTAAAATATTTTGCAAGTCTGCAGAAGAACTTTTAATCCTTTAATATTTTTCTTTTAATATATCATGAGAGCTGACTTTAGATGAAAGTACGTTTCTTTCTTCTTTTTCAATTTGTTTGAGATTCAGATTTACTTAAGATCTTTTGCAGATTATCTGTGCAATAAATTTGAATTCTAAACAAAATGCAAACAGTTTTGATTCATATAGTGTTATGAACAGTAGTCATGAACAATGATGACTGACGATCCAGGTATATATTATGATATCAAACAGGGAATGTACATTTTGTATAACTCACATTTGTACAAAGAAGACACATTTTATTTGCTCAATGCACACCATTACCACCATTGGTGCTAAATAAATGCTGTGATTCCGATATTACTGTTATGCGCTAAATCTTAATGAATTTAATGTATGTGGTCCTCTTTTCTGACGATACAATCATTTATAAATATCAAATATGATCAAAAATGAAAACCACTGTTAGACCATGCTTTCATTACAACTTTTGTATTTACTATCTCAACTGTTTAGAGTATATTTTGAAAGTGTAATGTGCAAAATTTTATGACATGTTTTGCTGAAAACTGTGCATATCTTAAGAAAAGTGTTTCATTTTATATATCAAAGTCATTTTACCTCTAAATTTTGTCCAAAAAACAAGAGGTTGTCAAACATATTTTAGAGAAAAAAGTAGGGCAGTACAACCCACTATCAGGGATTCATAGAACAAAGTATTGTTAGCACATGACAGTGATTTTCCTACTTATATAACAGACTCCGAAAAAGGGCCTCTTCCCAATTGAAATTTTCTTTAAAATCATGCAGTTTTCCCAAAAATCTGAACTTAAACCTGCCTTTTTCTTCCCAAATTAGCAATTTTAGCGATAATTTTTCCCAAAATCATGAGGCTAAGGCCTCTTCCCAATTAAGCGAGAAAAATCACTGCATGATATAATTCAGAATCATTTTTGTAAAGGTAGCAGGGCTCTACAAATTTTTTTGGAATAGAGTTGTCCAGGACAACTGACCTAGCAAAATAGAGTTGTCCCAAAATTGACCACAAGTGTCCAAGTCTCGGTAAATGTTCAGTATGCGTAGTATATGTATACTATATCCAAAGAAGAAGTAAAAACAATTAATTTTTTAATATTTTTAACTTACATTTTGTATTTCATTTAGTATAAAATAGAACATTTTGTTTCAACTGAAATAGTTTTGATTGTTCAGCACTCTTCCCAGGTACCTTTCAGCACTGTTCAAGTTCAATAGCCTGTGTAGGCCTATATATGTTTTGTTTCAGTTTTATTTTTTTTCCTGAATTTTTATCCTTGATCTTGAAAATTTAAGTAAAATTATTCCAACATAAATGTAGTTAGCCATAGCCTCTCTCAGTTTCCAAATTTCACATTGGACATGGTAAATAAGAAAAAGACAGTCATTTATATTACCCGGTTGGGAAATATAAAATATGATAGTGAATTAGACTATTCAAATACTTACAAATCTCATCATTATTTATCTTAATATTGTCAAAAGTCCTTTTGATTCATAAGTAACAAAAGATTTTTAATATTTCTACTTGCTGCAGAGCTTTAAACTTATTAAAACTGCCTCACGATTTATATAAAAAAAATCGGCATCGCGAAAATATGTGACAAATGAATTTTTTTCTGTTTTCCTCATAAATTATACTATTTTGACTATTGTATGTTGGAATGCATTCAAAATAGATGCTTTTTGGATATTTTAATATTGTTTTCCACTTAGGAATTTATCAAAAAGCCTAAAACAAAAAATTCCAAATTTTCAATTCACGGCACAAATTACTGTCTGCTTGTGTCAATATATCAACTTCAAAGACCAAGTCTGCGACTTAATAATGTTTTTGACATGTCTATAATAATGTTGGACTTTGTCTTTAAGATTTTTATCAAACATTTAGTGTCTTATCTATTTTTATTCCCTGTGGCAATGTAAAATTAATCAAGGTAGCAACTGCTGAGATTGATTGCCTCAGACGTAGATTACCGGCGCACCATGCTGTGAAGGGTCGTATTAATAAACATAATTTTACAGTTGTCCAAGATTAGCATCTGTCAAAATTTGACTTGTCCGGGACTAACTTTCTGCTTATTGTCAGTTGTCCCAAGTGGTTTTAGAGTTGTCCCGGACGTCGGACTATAGGATTTGTAGAACCCTGGGTAGATGTGCTTTAAACACTTGCAACCACTTACTCATTCAGATATGAAAAGGCGCACACCTGAAGCACCATGTGAACACCTTAGATTAGCACTAATTTTTTAGAATGGATAAATGTTTGAATTTTCTCATTGACACTGATAATATACCAAAAGCAGTTGATAGTCATTACATTTTTAATTTCATTAAATTTGAAAGGTAAAATTAATGGCTTTTAGATCTAAAATGAAACAATTTTATCAACTTATAGCTGTTTCTGCCACATAAGTCAAAGAGTTTTTGACAATTGCACTCACGAAAATTCAATGGAGCTGTGTGATGTAAAAAATTATCAGAATACAAGAACTGAAAAGGTCATTATAATATATAAGTGTGCATATTTTGATTTTTTCTGCACATATCACATCAGACAGAAAGATATTGTATCAATAATATAAGTATTGTGAAGAGTGTGATTTGCACATGTTGACACTATGTTGTTATTGTATTGTTTGAGTTGATAGTGTAAAATTAATATTTCTAACACAACCCGCATTTTTCCCTATTGAATATAGAAGAACCGAAAGAGTGTGTTATTATGCTATAGAATCACTGTTTAGACGTATGAAGTAATCATTATACACGTGACGTAACCACTAAAAATGTGACGCGCTGACAATATTATTTAGAACGGATACAAATCGGGCGCAATTTAGCTAAATATCAGGTACGGCAGCATTCGTTTGTTAATGTCGTGTTAGAATCAAAATAATATATCCAAATCGGTGATTTTATTGCTTATTGCATCATTATATCACTCGGGGCGTATAATTCCTCACATCTGAACTCCAAACAGTGATGTTAATGAGCAATAAAATCACAGTTTGGGATATATTATTTCTTAAATAACTTTACTTGATTAAAGAGAGTGATACAGAAGTAGATACATAATTTAAAAATAAAAACCCAAGAACGCCCTCAAACCTGAAATTGTTCATTGTGTTACAGGCTAAGTTTGATTTGGCAGTGAAACAATGTACAGTCTACCCCCTTACACCATCTTAAGCAGAACACATTATATAAATATGAACAAAGTGTAAAATTAAGAATTAGGAAATCTCAGCATATGATTAAACAAAGGTCAAACTAAAAAAAAAAATGAATTTTTAGAGGGGGATCAGAGGTTATGAATCCACTAGTGTAACACGTGTTATTTTCCATTTTAAATGTGTGCATGAGAAACATACACTGTCTTTTACTAAATTGTACAAAAATGATAGTTTCAACTGCACTTTATGTTATCTAATAATACAGTAGGAGTATGATGTAATGACTTCAAAGACAAAATAAATGTTTAATTGTGACGCTAAATTATTATAAATTTTTTTCAAGATTTTTCGTTTACAGTTACTTGTACATGATATGCAATTATTGGCTAATATTTTGCGATTTAATACAAAGCACTGATGGAGGCAAATAATTTCTAGTGTTTTCATGAATTCTCACATTCTTTATAACACATTTCAATGGGATATGCATATTATTCTGTACCTGGAAATGAAACACTTAAGGTCTAACTCAAGCATTTTTGAGGAAAATTGATATATTTGACATCGCAATAAGAGACCAACTCAAGTTAGACCTGTATTGCACTGACAAAATTGAACTACCTGAGATAGAGTAAGACTTTTATTTTAAATGTAAATAAAAAAGGCAAAAAAAGCATAAATTACCCTAAAATTTTCACAGAATGTGTATTTGACCTTACATTATCAAAATATGTAAAAAAGTGATTTTTGGTAAAAATGTCACTTAGACCAGTATTGCGCTGAGCCATCGAAATGTTCTTCTAATTTGCTGAAGCGTCTGTTGATACAGATCACAATATCACGGACTAAATAAGAATTAATACGTTTGAAATATACTTTACCTCACAGTTTTAACTCTGTCATCAATCTCTTCAACTGTTGGCTTCAGAAGATCTATAATGCCATCTGATATTGCGTCTCTTCGATCATATTGGTTAGCATTTTCAGATGAATTAGGAAATGGGCCGTCACTGTCAGCCATCATGATTTTTCTTGTCTAAATTCTGTTTCCTGTGGGAACATCCCGGGATCCGAGAAGACGAAATCCGTGTTCGGCCCATTTAATTTTCGCTCTTTTTATCCCACGAAAATTCATCAAACTTAAGGCCAAATGTTGGACACAGCATATCCGGTAGACGAATTCGCTGGAAATTACTTTCTTACAACACTACTTTCCAACTAAAATAGATTTTATGCCCACATAAAATAATTTATGTCATTGTTCTGTCCCTATTCTCATTGCGGTACAGAATATTACGGGTCAGGTTTTAGCCATTACGGGTCAGGTTTTATCCAAGTACGTCTTAGCCAATCGATATCAAGACTTAAATCATGTGATGTTAATTAACCAATGATTACATTAGATCTATCACAAAGATATAATTTTGGCGAGGAATGATTCTCGCCTTTCTGTTTACTAAAAATTTATCTATTTTTGAAGTCATAAGCTTTATTTAAAGTAACTAATTACGTATTACTATGAACAGTTATCTTATTAATCTGCTGGAAGCGAATTTTAGGGACGGTGTCCCCGGTTTCATATTCAATTTCGTGACGAAAATGGCAATTCATTTCACGGCAACACGGGCAGGATATCGTAACAGGATACAATTTATTATCAAATGAACATTTCTACATTCGTTATTAAATTTCACCTCATTTGAGACTCGGAAATTTAGACAGAACGATTGTAATCCACGATATGGATTTAATCTTCACAGACATATTTTTGTTGAAATGCAACTTTTTTGGGATAACTGGACCAACGGTACACGCTTTGAAAGTTTGAGACATCATCAGTCAGGGCAAACAGGACGTTTCGGCCCCAAACCAAATCGGCCCCAGTGGAAAAATCGGCCCCTGGACGTTTCGGCCCTTTTCCGCGAGACGTTTCGGCCCTACTATATCTAGGGTAATTTGGGGCCGATATGTCTTGGGGCCGAAACGTCTCGAAATCCAGTCAGCCAAACAGCTGTGCCGGCCTTTGGAACTAATGACATTTACAAATCAGAATTTATCCACAAAACGTTGCTCGTCATATTACAGATTTCGTAGATACCATTCTATTTACGAGTCCTGAAAGTTACCATTGTTCAACAGTTCAAGTTTTGTACAAATGCCAAAACAAACATAAACGATCATACTTATGGCGAATAAATGGTTCATGGTTGACATGTCCAAACAACATTTACCTGTTTACACCAGATGGATGCCACCTGTTTACTCTGATCAGCTACGTCTCATCAATGAGATAAGAACAGCAGCTTGGTCGCCGCCCCGAAGCATTTCATTTGTCAGACAAAAGATAAGTATTTTGTTTACTATGTCTTTAAGTTATATTGTACTAAAGTCAGTATTTTACTGCATTGTATGCCTGCCCTGTTATACAAACTATGAACAGATGAAGTCTAGGTTTGTTGCTTTGTCTTAACAAATTAATATAATATAATAAGCTTTGGTTATGACTCGAAGTAGATCTACTTAATGAATTTTTCCTGGACACATAATTGAAGTTCTATATTAGTCATGTTAGTTATCACTTATTTCCAATTCATTTACAGTTCACACAAACTTCTAATTAGAGTAGATAATAGTACATGTTGATTTTCTGCTAGTCTACTATACATTTGTACACACATCATCATAGCAGTATTATTTAGCAACATGTTAAGTAACAGTCCAGATTGGAGCGATTTAGCCTTATTTCTTTTTAATTTTACATTTTTTTTGTTGACTCCAACTAAATACAGTTAGTGTGATTTAGTTTATAATTTCCATACATTCATGTTTCACTGTTTTAGTTTTTCAGTCATTGAATTTAAGATTCAAAATTACTGTTCTGAATTCTAATTTTGAATTTATTCTACTATACACTTAGTTAATCAAATTTTCTTAAAATTTACACAGACCTGAACTAATTTTCACTGGCCTTGGACCAGTATTAAATTCCATGACTGGTTTTACAACAGTTTAAACACGATCACAGCACAAGGTTAGTTTACAGTCTGTGTTAGTTGCATTTATACATATTCTAGTATACATGGCTAAATATATAGTTTTATGTCTGCGTGACTTAGTTAACATTTAGTACACATTTTCAACACAATATAGTTGACGATCCATGTGAGTGTGATTTTGTTTACAATTATACGCATCGTATGATAAATGACTTGGTTTATAATCTATGTCTGCTTGATAAAGTTTACAGTTCACACATAGTTTTTATAATACATGTACATGTAAGTGTGATTTTGTTTACAATTCGCACACATCCCATGATACATGGCTCCGGTTATAGACCATGTCTTAGTGATTTAGTTTACCGATGATACACATGGTTTAGTTTACACGCATATTTTCTACACATGGTTTAGTTTACACTCCTGGTGAGTGTGATTGAGTTTAGAGTTCTCGCATATCCAATTATACATTGCTTAAGTTTATAGACAATGTCTGCGTGATTTAGTTTACAGTTCACGCCTATTTTCTACACATGGTTTAGTTTACAGTCCATGTGAGTGTGATTTACTTTACAGTTCACACTTATCATATTATACATGGCTTAGTTTATAGTCCATGTCTGCGTGATTTAGTTTACAGTTCACGCCTATTTACACATGGTTTAGTTTACAGTCCATGTGAGTGCGCTTTAGTTTACAGTTCACACTTATCATATTATACATGGCTTAGTTTATAGTCCATGTCTGCGTGTTTTAGTTTACAGTTCACGCCTATTTACACATGGTTTAGTTTACAGTCCATGTGAGTGTGATTCAGTTTATAGTTCACACATATCCTATTGTACATGGTTTAGTTTAAAGCCCATGTCTGCGTGATTTAATTTACAGTTCACACTTATTTTTTCACACATGGTTTAGTTTACAGTCAGTGCGAGTGTGATTTAGTTTATAGTTCACAAATAATTATCCTATTATACATGGTTTAGTTTACAATCATGTCTGCTTGATATAGTTTTCAGTTCTCGCTTTTTTTTTCACATATAGTTGAGTTTACATTCCGTGTGAGTTAGTTTACAGGTTCTATTATACATGGTTTAGTCTATAGTCCATGTTTTCATGATGATGCTTATGAATCACGCACAATGTAGTCAGAATTAATTTAATAATCAATTACATTTCATACATTTAGTCTACCTTAATGACAAAATAATTCATATTTTTCAGATGAAACGGCCACAAATTCTCCTTACACCTGTTACTCAGGTCCTCAACAAGGAAAAGCCAAACAACAAGAATGTCCAGTAAATCCTGCAAAAACCAAGACTAGTCGAGGGAGCAATCATTATCGTTGAATTAATAGTGCAAGCGGACCTGGGTCCTAAGACAATGCTTTCATCAGTACATTAGCAGCCTTTCATTACATGTTTCATAGGTTTCAAGGTTGAGTCAGATAATGAATAAACTGATGTTGGCATACATGTTTTACACAGCTTCAAGGAAATTCATATTTATTGCAAAAGACAGTTGAAATAACATAAGAAGTAATGGTATTCAGATTGCTAAGCTAATAATTACACCTTTTATAAACCAAGTTAAATATTCATTATGCTTGCTAAGCTAATAATTACACCTTTTATAAACCAAGGTAAATATTCATTATGCAAGAAAAAAAAAATTATATTCATGGCAACCGTCATAGCTTCTTCTCAAAAACCTACACAGTACACCCTTCAAGTAGATTCTGTACTTGTCTTGTCAACTTGGTTTAGTTACACGCCTTGCTATTCTTTCAACATACCATTATTGTACTAGGCATTGCTTAGTTTACACGCTTTGCCATTTGTTTGTCTGTACTTGTCAGCTTGGCTTAGTTTACACGCCTTGCTATTATTTCAGCATATCATTGCTGTATTAGGCATTGCTTAGTTGACACGCTTTGCCAATTGTTTGTCTGTACTGGTCAGCTTGGCTTAGTTTACACGCCTTGCTATTATTTCAGCATACCATTGCTGTATTAGGCATTGCTTAGTTGACACGCCTTTGCCATTTGTTTGTCTGTACTGGTCAGCTTGGCTTAGTTTACACGCCTTGCTATTATTTCAGCATACCATTGCTGTATTAGGCATTGCTTAGTTGACACGCTTTGCCATTTGTTTGTCTGTACTTGGTCGGCTTGGCTTAGTTTTACACGCCTTGCTATTATTTCAGCATACCATTGCTGTATTAGGCATTGCTTAGTTGACACGCTTTGCCATTTGTTTGTCTGTACTGTCAGCTTGGCTTAGTTTACACGCCTTGCTATTATTTCAGCATACCATTGCTGTATTAGGCATTGCTTAGTTGACGCGATTTGCCTTCATTCATAAATTTTAATAGTGTGCATTGCTTAGTGTAAATGCTTTGCAATTTGTTTTCAAAGTCTCAAATTATGTACTGTCTTGTCAGCTTGGCTTAGTTTATTTTATCCATTCTGTACGGCTTGATGCTTTCTAAAATTTATTAAAAAGAAAATATTGGAAATTTTAATGGTTTTCCCCCTAAAAAAAAGGTAAAAAATTGGGTTTTCAAACCAAAAACAAATTTTTTTCCAAAAAGTTTTTTTTCTTTTTCAAATTTTAATTTTATGTATGGGGAAAACCCCACTTTTTTTCCCGGCAAGAAAATGTCCAATACTATTTAGGAACGACAAAACCCAAAGGTTTTTAAATTAATTAAAAAGGGGTTAAATTTTTCCAAATTTTAAATTTTTCCCTAATTTAAATTTTTGTTTTTGGTTTAAAGAGCAGATTTTAAATAAAGAAAAAACAGTGGAAAACCAGCAAACTGAGTGCCATTAAAAAAATCTTTCAAAATTTCTTTTCCACAGTTTCAAGGTGCAGTTAAAGTTGGGGCATACTTTTAGGGGTTTTAAAGGGGTTTTCCACTTTTAATTTTTTAAAAAAAAGATCTGTCGTATAAGGCAGCAGTTCTTTAGATATTATAAAAAAGACAGTGAATTACTGCAAACTGAGTGTCATTACAATCTTTCAAATAACTGACAGTTCAAGGCTGCAGTTTTTCTCCTT